AAATTAAGTATAAATTAAAATATAATTAAATAAAAAAATACAAGTTGCTAAATATACCACATGAATTTTCTCATTAAATGCTTTAACAAAAATTACACATACTTAATACATAATACATAAAAAAAAAGGAGAAAGGCAATGTGACATAAGTAGAATTTAGTTAACTATATCCAGTTATCTTTCCAACACGTCCCCTTATAACTCGATGGGAAGTTATATATACATTTTTCTTTCTTGGTTAGCAATAAAAGACAAGGAGCAGACCAAGAAGAAACAAAGAGAACAAAAGACGAACATTAAGCAGAATGCAAAGAACAAACATTAAGCAGAGTGAGATAGAAATAATCCAAAATTTTGAGTCATGAATTAGGTTTGGGGATTGATTCTAATCCGTTTTTTTTTTTTTAAGTTTTTGTTTTAGGGATTTAAGATTTTGTATAAATTTTGATAATCTAGGTTGTTGAGCCCTAATTTCGATAGATTTTTTAGCGGAATTTTGTCAAGTCAAAAGTTAGGGATTTTTTATTCAATGGTTTTTATGGTATCGTATTCTAATTTGATTCAATAGATTTGATCATAAACTCCAAGATAATAAAATCTAACAATACATTTGGGATAAAAACTTCTTTTTTAGGGAATTATTTTTTAAATAATACACTTTTTAGAAAGTATGAAAATAACAGTTACATTCAAAAAAAAAAAGGTAAAAAAAGAAAAGTTTTTTTGGATTGTTTTTTTTCCATAAAGATCAATAAGCCACGTTTTAAATATGGTTTTTGCTAAGAGACTCTTAAAGTGCTCAACATTTTTAGACACTTAGATATTTTATCCTATAGTATAGTAATTTTTGTTTAGGAGTATTTTAAGTAATTAGTCAAGGGTAAACTAGAAATTTTTAATAGAAAAAAAAACATTTATTAACAATAGTGGACAATCACATCATCAACATGGTATGTGACATCACCCACAATATGCATTATTTGCTTTTAACTACTAATAGAAGGTCACTATTTTCTAATAAAAATTTCCATTCTACCTTTCAAAATGACAAAAAAAAAAAATTGCTCTTATTTGAAAAATTTGTATTATAATTCAAGGGTATTTTAGTGTCAAAAAATATCGAGCACTTTAGGGTCGCTTGGTACCTGGAAATCTATTATATGACAATCGATTATGATGAAATATGACATTTTCACTATTTGAGTACACTTTATAGAAAAAAAATGAAAAGAGATTATCCAAAAAATCATGAAACACATTACTCGAGATGAAAAGTGAAAAATCTAAATAGGGCTTAACGAGTAATCTTTATAAATCTTCACATGAAACACATTACTTGCGGTGAAAGATGTAGCTTAATAAAATTCCAACTCGACTATTCGGTTTTGCATAAATGCTCTTTCCCTATCGGTTTGCATAGGTGCTCTCTCTCTCAAACCTTAATAATTGGTTTACATAAGGTGTTTCTTCTCTCTTGAAGCCCCTTCTTTTCATGTCTCTCTCTTGAATCCCCTTTTTCTCATATATATATTTTTTAAGTTCTTTTATTTTTAAGCCCCTTCATCTCATCTGGATTTATTTCTTTTTTTTAAGCCCTTTACTCTCTCTTATGTACTTTTTCTATTTTCCCTATGTCTTTAAAATATCCATTCTCCTAAGCATATCTAATTCTCTTATCTGTACTTTTTCTGTTGATTTGGATTTTTTTCTTTTTTTCAAACCCTTCACTCTCTCTCATATGTACTTTTTTTATTCAGTCTCTTTTTAGGATATCCATTCTCCATACCATATCTAACTCTCTCATCTGTGCTTTTTCCATTCCCTCCTTCTTAGTATATTCATTATCCTTAGCATATTCACATAGCACAATTATAATAAAAAACTTCACCCAACATAGTAAATTATACAACATAATTATAATAAAAAATTTCACCCAACATAATCCTCATAAGATATCAATAAAAGCTCAATTATAATAAAAAATTTCACTCAACATAATCCTCATAAAATATCAGTAAAAGCTCAATTGAAATAAGATAATTATTTAGTTTCCTCCAATATCTAAAAAATTTCTATTGCAAATACCGAACTTTCTAGTTTACTAATCAAACTTTTTACCATTTTTTAACTTGTACCATAAACATTTTTAATTTGGTATCATAAATTTATTGTTTATTTGAAATTATATAGATAGACATTTGAAAAACTTATATAAAAAAATAAATAAAAATAAGGCTTATCACAATAAAAATATATTATTTCAATCATTTTATTCCAATAACTTATTATGTTGAAACTAAAGGCTAATCATGTTAGAAGACATGTGATTCCATGTAAGTACCAAATGCATGCAAAATAAGTAAGAAATTGTGTGATAATGACTTTAAAATGATACAAGTTATTATTAGAAATTTTTTTTGGAATGGTGATGATGTTATTATTAGAAAATATTTTTTGAATGATGAAGATGTTATTATTATAAAATATTTTTAGAATGATGTGACGTTTACTTTAATTCCGCATTTCAATAGAATTTTGTGACCCCAAAAAAAAAAAATGATAGTTTATAGACAAGTGCTGCTAAAACGTTGGTAATGCATTTTTCATATTACTTTTTGGGTGGTCTTTAGATGCAACCTCAGATATACATAGCTATTGTTTGGCTATGTGTGGATATTTTCATATTTTTTACAAACAATATATTTCCAGGTATCCAGACAGAAAAACCTTTTAAACATATACTCATAAATAATGTATTACGTCAGTAATATATTTTTGGGTATCCAAACGGGACAACCTTTAAACATATACATGAAAAAACAGCTTTAAACATATTTCACGTCTTACTTATACTTAAGAGCATTGTTTAGCAGAAAATCGGGAACCGCCCGGTTCTAGAACAGAACCGCCGGTTCAGCCCGGTTCCTGTGCAACACGCACGTGCACGCATGCTCACCTCATGTATGCCTCCCACACGTTTCTATACACATAATAAAATTTCTATTACACATGACTTTATAGAGACCAAAGCAATACTCATCCTTCAATGTGGGATAATTCCCACAAAAAATCATTAAAGCAAGATGATTGAATATATATTATTATAGATGCTAATAAAATCACATGTAGTGATAGGGCCATGTTGGTTGACAACATTGATTTTTGGGTGTATGACTTGAGTTCGAACCCCCACAGTGAACACCAACAAATATTTTGAGTTTGAACCCCTTATTGCACCACAAATTTTTTATTTTTTTGAGTTCGAACCCCTTAGCGCACAACCAAAAAATACAAAAAAAAAATTTGTTGTAAAAAAAAATAAACAAAGGCAGAAAATACTGTTGTAAAAAAAATAGAAAAAATATAAAATAAAAGGCTTTTTAAGATAAAGATAAAAAAAAGAATATAATATTTTTTATTTTTTGTAAAAAAAATGCAATTTGTTGTCAGAAAAAAAAACAAAGGCAGAAAATATTGTTGTAAAAAAATAGAAAAAATATAAAATAAAAGGCTTTTTAAGATAAAGATAAAAAAGATAACAAGTATTTCTTGCAAAAAAAAAAAAACAAAAAGGCATAAAAAAATAAAATGTACTTTGGCAGTATCTTTTTTTTATTTTTCTTGTAAAAAAAAATAAAAAAGTAATACAACAAGCAAGAAAAAAATGTAGTACAACATCTTATTCTTTTGTCAAAAAAAAAAAACGAAGATAATCAACAAATATCATATTTTTCTTGTAAAAAAAAAAAAAAGATAACATAATAAGTATTTATATTCAAAAAAATAAAAGGTATTTTTTAATACAACCTAGGAATAAATGGCCTAATTATATTTTTTATTTTTATAACATGATGGTCTTTAACATAAAATTAGTAATATTAATTTAAAGATAGGATTCATACAATGAGGCCATTTGAAATCTCTCTTTCTGCTAACAAACTTTTCTACTAATTTATTCTAGAAACCTAAAAAATTAAAAAAACTTGGTACGCATTCTAATAATTTCTATATTGATAACCAAATATTTTATTTTATTTATTATTTTTGTATTATAAATCATGTTGTATACTATTTTTCTTACAGTTGTCAATAATACATTTTAAATTAGATGATATTATAAAATATTTTGGATTTGTTATTATTTATATAATAAAATAATTATAAAATATTGTTGGTATATAATATTATAATTAGTTAGGTTGTAATAATTTGGGTTTTTTTAACGGATTAGGGTTTTCCGCCAATTCGAGATTTTAGTGGCCAAATTTTCATCGATTTAGTCAACTCTTTATTATAGTCCATATATGATTAGATAATTAATCTATGATATAATTAATCCATGATAATTCTATGATTTATTTTGTGTGATGTAAATTTAATGGTCAACATAAGTTTATACAGGGAAAGAGAATCTCAATATTCATAAATTGATAAAAAAAATAAAAGTTAATAATGTAGTACCCTCATTTCTCATTGGATTCCTAAAAAACAATATTTATAATAAATTTTAATATTTTTTTCGAATTTTTTTGAAACTTTAATCTTACCGATTCAACCGATTCCTGATCCGAATCGCCTATTCACATATCCGAATCAGTTTTTAAGGTACCTTATCCAGATCAACCGATCCGCTTTTTGAAACAATAGATATTAGCGGTAATGTATTACGCGAGGTTTACACCCAGTCTAGCCTAACAAAACCCATTAAAGTAACATATTCGTTAAAAACCGCTTTTTTCATAAAGATAAATAAGACGCCTTTTAAAAGTTTAGGCGATAAAAACGCGTATTTTTGTCGATCGTTTCACAATATCGCATTTTTAAACGCCGTATTTTTTTAGAACTCGCGTTTTAACCGCCGACTTGCTAACTATACCATAAACCTAGTTTGGACCTTTAGAAAGAAGTTGGGAAGTAATTACGTGATCGCCCTCCGTTTTGGCGGTTCTCGTCTCTATAAAAGGAAGAATGTGCTTCAGGTACGAGGGCTTTTGAGAAGCTTCACAAAATGGAAGACTTCGGCTTTTGAGCACCCTCACAAAAACGAAATTCAGATCGATACTTCGTTCGAATCCACCATTACAGAACTTCTAGATTGGGTTTTACAGTGTTTTATAGTTTTGGTGCTGCACCGGTTTAAGAAGTAGGGTCTGGATTATCCGAAGGATAAGGGTTTTCAGGAATCCATTACTGTATTTCAGGTGACCTAGAGTTCTAAAACGATCAGTGTGAGATATACCAACGAATTGCAACTTTCCAGTGTTACATTAAGGTCATTTGAGGGACTAGGGCATCATCTGTATTTTGGAGATTATATCCATGTAGAGAAGTGGTTTTGGTGCATTCCATCGGGAAACTAATTGTAAAAAGTGAACTGATTTTTAATTCAAGGTCTTGAAATCTCTTTGATTATCCGAAGGATAAGGGTTTTCCGGAATCCATTACTGTATTTCAGGTGACCTAGAGTTCTAAAACGATCAGTGTGAGATATACCAACGAATTGCAACTTTCCAGTGTTACATTAAGGTCATTTGAGGGACTAGGGCATCATCTGTATTTTGGAGATTATATCCATGTAGAGAAGTGGTTTTGGTGCATTCCATCGGGAAAATAATTGTAAAAAGTGAACTGATTTTTAATTCAAGGTCTTGAAATCTCTTTGAAATTCAATCCCTGAAATGCAGGGGTTTTGATTCAAAATTCAAAACTCCAGGTAAACCAGAGTTTCTTCAGAGAAAGCCCCTTCAAATTAAGTTATTTGTCAAAGGAATTTCATATCGTTTTTTGAGGAAAGATGTCTGGAGGAGAGGATGACGACTATGTCAATGAAGATGAGGAAATCACACAGGAAGACGCCTGGGCAGTTATCAGTGCATATTTTGATGAGAAGGGTCTTGTTCGACAACAACTTGATTCCTTTGATGAATTTATTCAGAATACAATGCAGGAAATTGTCGATGAATCTGCTGATATTGAAATTCGACCAGAGTCTCAGCATAACCCTGGCAGACAGGCTGATTTTGTTGAGGTTGGTGTTTTTCAGTTGTTCTTTAGCTGTCTTCATGTTAATTTTTTTTGATGGGTGAGCTTGGGTTTCAAACTACATAATCGGATTGTACCCAATGTTGTCTCGATGTTATTTTTTTTGACGGGTGAGCTTGAGCTTTCAAACTACATAATGGGATTCTACCCAATGTTTAGTTTTTCGCTGTGGTTTTATGATTATACATATGTTAATTAGAACCTACAATCCGGGAGATGGAAGTTGGCGTATGATCCTATTTATTTGTCATGTAAATCAAATATCATTCTCTATCATTCACAAAGCTACATTGGTTTTTTTAATTTGGTTCTTCGTCTCTTGCTAAGTGATTCAAACTTGATTGGGTTTGCTGATTATCATATTTAAAGAAGAAAAACCAAATGTGGGTTATAAGGGTTACTAAACAAATTGGGTTACTAACTACTATGGATTGTTACTATGTGGGGGTGATGTGTAGACCATCTACAAGATCAGTTTTGGCCAAATTTATTTGAGTAAGCCTATGATGACGGAATCAGATGGAGAAACTGCCACTTTATTCCCAAAGGCGGCAAGATTAAGAAACTTGACCTATTCAGCCCCTTTATATGTTGATGTCACCAAACGAGTCATCAAGAAGGGACATGACCATGAAGAACTCGCAGAGCAGCAAGAATTGACGAAAGTTTTTATTGGGAAGGTAGTACCTTGGCTATGAGTTCACTAGTCCATTTTTTGTTGGGTTTCTTGCCAGTGTTCAAATGTTAATGTTTCCATTTTTGATGAATAAAAAAGGAGGTGAATTGTTTCTATTATTGTGAGATGCCTATCTTTCATTTTTCTTTTTCTTTTGGGTTTTTCCATTGTAGGTTCCCATCAGGTTTTGGGTTTTTTCATTGTAGGTTCCCATCATGTTGCGTTCTAGTTACTGCACTTTGTTCCAGAACTCAGAAAAAGATCTAACAGAACTTGGAGAATGTCCATACGACCAAGGTGGTTATTTCATTATCAATGGGAGTGAGAAAGTCCTGATTGCTCAAGAAAAGATGAGCACCAACCATGTGTATGTATTTAAGAAAAGGCAGCCCAACAAATACGCGTATGTTGCTGAAGTAAGGTCAATGGCAGAGTCACAAAACAAGCCACCTAGCAGCATGTTTGTTCGTATGCTTTCACGAACAAGTTCAAAAGGGGTAAGATACTCTTTTCAACTTTTCTCAGAGCCGATAAGACCGATGCTGGTCTGTGCACTTGTTGACTAATTAATTTAGGCATAGATTGATCATTATGGTATTATATAGACAACGAATGATTAAAATGTACCATGATTATAATTGTCGAGGAATTATTGTTTCTGCAGGGCTCGTCAGGACAGTATATACGGGCTACACTCCCTTATATCCGGGCAGAAATTCCTATAATTATTGTGTTCCGAGCATTAGGGTTTGTTGCCGATAAAGATATTCTGGAGCATATTTGCTACGATTTCTCTGATACCCAGATGATGGAGCTATTGAGGCCTTCATTAGAAGAAGCTTTTGTCATTCAAAATCAGCAGGTACTCTATGCCTAGTCTCTTTCTTGAAAATATGGATTACAATTTCCTGAACAGCTCTTTGTGGAGCAATTTTCAATTCTGGACATCCTTTTAGAATGGATAAGACAGCTTTTGGGAAAGCTCTAATATATATATATATATATATATATATATATAAATAAAGCAAAAATGCTAGGTTAACTTGTTTTTGGAGGTCTAGATATTGCTGATTTTTCAAAGTATGGCCCCTGTACAAAATCCATGGTGCTGAACAGATGAATTTTCTTGATGCAACATCAAGCTAAATATTCAGTCAGCTGAGTTTTGTCTACTTTGAATAAAAGGCTTTGTTTGGAATTGGAGTTGTCAGATTCAACTATGTTCTTTCGCTTGTAACTCTCTTTTCTTGCATGGGTAGCTTGTGACTTTTCAGTTTGGGAGTTTTACCTTCATATAAACTCCATTAAGTGGGGCTGTTTCTATTCTGTGAGTTCTCTTCGGTATTTTCTTTCTTATTATGTTGGGAACATTTTTATTATGATTATGTTGGGAAATTTTTTTATTATGATTCATGTGCTTCACTTACTGGTTGGTGTTTAGATTCTTATTGTCACTACTGGTTTGAATTCGTGTTACATTCTAAGCTCTTTCTTTTCCTCGTTAAGTATAACCTTTTGGCATTGTATAGGCTTTCAGGTTTGGATCTGGAATTCAGTTATTCTACATAATATGCTTTTTATTGCATATTGCTTTTATTGGCTTAACATACTAAGATAAACTTCTTGTTGCTAAGTGGGACAATTATGGCTAATTTAATTAGGTGGAAATTGGGATGATGTATATCCCCCTTATATGTTTTTATTCATAGGATTTCCATGTAATTGGATGGTTGGGCTTCTACTTTACTGTTATTTAATATTTCCACATGGGTCTTTAGGTAGCACTGGACTACATTGGAAAGCGAGGATCAACTGTTGGTGTTACCAAGGAGAAGAGAATCAAGTAAGTGTTTTCTGGTTCTCTTCTGATGTTGTGTGTGATTACCCTCTGGTTTGGTATTCTTATGTTTTCTCTGTTTTTTTAATAATTTCTTACAATCTCTTTTCCTTGCTTGGCATCATGCTTCTTAACCCTTGGTTTATTTGTAGGTATGCTAAAGAAATTCTCCAAAAAGAAATGTTACCTCATGTTGGGGTGGGGGAATATTGTGAGACAAAGAAGGCTTATTACTTTGGGTAGGTATTTCACTCCTCTTTGTGTTTGCAATGTGTTTTAGTTTCATCTCTGGTGTGCTTATTCCTGTTTGTGTCTGCCAGATATATCATTCATCGGCTTCTCGTATGTGCACTTGGTCGAAGACCTGAAGATGATCGTGATCATTATGGGAATAAAAGACTGGACCTAGCTGGTCCCTTGCTTGGAAGCCTGTTCCGAACGGTTTGTTGTATATGAAGTTTTGAACTCTTGTAGTATCGGTTGAAAGATTGGATTTTTTTTTTTGGGAGGTTTTGTTTGTAATTCATTATTTTGTTTAAATTCAGATGTTTCGGAAGCTGACAAGGGATGTCCGATCGTATGTTCAGAAGGTATTTGTATTGTTATATTCTTAATCCAGCTTACTTAAGTTTAAGTTGTTTATGATCATCTGATTGTGATATATTGGCTTACTTTGATTTCATGAACAGTGTGTTGATAATGGGAAGGAGGTAAACCTGCAGTTTGCAATAAAAGCTAAAACAATTACAAGTGGTCTGAAATATTCTCTTGCTACGGGAAACTGGGGCCAAGCAAATGCAGCTGGTACAAGAGCTGGAGTTTCACAGGTTTTATTCCTCTTTTCCTGCTTTCTATTTATGGGTCTAGGCAGATTCAGTTTACAAGCTGTCCATATATTTCATCTTCATGCTTCCAGAAAGCCTTATTGGTTGTGAATTTGTACATGCAGGTCTTGAATCGCTTGACATTTGCATCTACTTTGTCTCACTTACGGAGGTTGAATTCTCCTATTGGGCGTGAAGGTAAAATCTTGTAATCATATTGTTTTGCTAATAGTTGCAATTGTGCCGCCTTTGTTCATGGAAATTGGAACTTCTGCGTCTGGTTCAAGCCGCTTGAGCTTATTAGTTTCATGAACACTCAGGGAAGTTGGCAAAGCCCCGACAATTGCATAATTCACATTGGGGCATGATGTGTCCTGCAGAAACTCCGGAAGGGCAGGTAATTTCTCTTCACTAGTGCAATCAAGGGATTTTTTTTTTTGTTTGGTTATGGCTATGTTCAATGGGTTCATATACTTCCAAGTATTTAAGGTTTCCATTTTTGTCGGGTTTTCTGAGCTTGTCGTATGCTGTAATTTAACTATTTTTGGTTTTTGATGTAAGGCTTGTGGACTGGTGAAAAACTTGGCTCTGATGGTATATATTACGGTGGGTTCAGCTGCAAATCCTATTCTGGAATTTTTGGAAGAGTGGAGTACTGAAAATTTTGAGGTTTGTATATTATATTACTGTATATCTCTCTCTCCTTGGATTCTTAGTTTTTATTATTTATTTTGTTCTTTACAATTTTTCCTGGGATTTTTTGATGTGCTTTTTATAGGAAATATCACCTGCTGTTATTCCACAAGCAACAAAGATTTTTGTCAATGGTTGCTGGGTGGGGATTCATCGTAACCCTGAGCTATTGGTGAAAACTCTAAGGCAGTTGAGGAGACAGGTAGTACTTTGCTATGTTAATATTTTGTTGAGAGTGCTTATCATTTATTGATTCCAACTATATCTACGGGTTGGTTCCCTTCGAACATTTTAGTTTTAAGAACCATATATCCCTTCTTAAAAAAATAAAAAGTTAAAAAAAGGGGTTCATTTTCTCTAGTTGTCCCTGTGCTACGATTCTGGACTTTGTTAACTACTGAATTGCATTAAGTTACTTATCATAAAGAAAAAGGTGCAGTTTGTACGGAGCCGAGGCTTTAAACGATCAAAGTAGAGTGCACCTTTAAATAGTGTCGAGAAATATGGTTTCAATATTAGAAATTTTTGTGATAGCCTTAAAATATATTTTCAACTTTAATGATAAAATTTAAAGCTTCAAAAATAGTATGAAAACTTGAAAATTGACGGTCCAAAAATGCGTTACAAGATGCACTATTTCCAAACTTGAAATCCATTTTTTTCTTATGTCCATGCATCTTGATGTTGAGATGATCAATTTGATGCGACCTCTTCTAGTGAATTTTTTTAGGTGGGTTCTAATTTGATTGTTTAGAGCCTCGGCTCTATATAAACTTTTTCCTAAAGGGGAAAAGACAAAAAGACAAAAGGAAAAATTGAAGCAAGCTTAGAATTGCTTTGAGGACAAAATCCACAATATCTCTTTGATGGATGTACTTTTAGCTATCCCTAACTTTATGGAAGTTTTGACATATTTTTCTTTACTACCATGCTTATCTTCCTTAATTTTTTTTCTCTTTAGGTATTCCTTGATTTTTGACCTATGTTTGTTTATTTCATACAGGTTGATGTTAATACTGAAGTTGGTGTTATACGAGACATTCGTTTGAAAGAACTGCGATTGTATACTGATTATGGTCGGTGTAGTCGTCCTCTGTTCATTGTGGAAAAACAAAGGTTGCTGATAAAGAAGTCAGATATTCGAGCACTGCAACAAAGGGTTTGTTAAATTACACCTTTCTCGAATGAAATATTGTCGTACAGCAGGGGCAGTGCGTGATTAGGGAATGCTTTTAATTGTAATGATTCCTTCTTGTTATAGGAAAGCCCAGATGAAGGTTGGCATGATCTTGTAGCAAAAGGATTCATAGAGTATGTGGACACAGAGGAGGAAGAGACGACAATGATCTCAATGACGATATCTGTAAGCTGGGCATTTCCTTTCTCGTACCTTGTAGAGATGTGGTTATACAAAATACACAATACATCAGAAAACCTGATGATGTGATCATTTTTCCAACTCCGAATATCAACAATGTTTACAAATATTGATTTTCTAATAGCAACCCTAGGCTCTGGGACAAGGTCTGAGATGCCTATACATCCGTGCATTTATTCTGTATGCTGATCATTTATACGCTGTAAATGTATTAACATGTGGTTTAGAATCGGTCATGACCTGCATTTTCTTGCTCAGGCATATATTAGATTCTTCTACTCTACCTTTGAAATGAGATGGAAAACATGATTCTTATGTTTTCAGGTATTTAGCTCAAGGCTAAAATGCTTTCTGATGATTTCCATCTGTGCCTTATCCAATAAATTTCCTTTATTCTTTTGTCTTGCTAAGTGTTGGATTTTGCATTCCTATTCGTACTCGTAAAAAGAAAGTGCATAGATTAATTTCTGTTGGTTTTCAGGATTTTTAAATTGAGAAATATTTTTAAAGGGAGGACAAAGAAAATCATGAAAATTCTTTTGTCCAAATTGTGCTCGCACTTAATTTCTATCTTCCAACTTCAGTGAATTGTCCAGCACCTGCAATAAAATAGAAAAAAGTAGACATGGAACGCTTGGACTGCCAGTGCACTGTGATGATCCTTAACTGGGTTACATAGACCTTTGCTATTGTTCATGATTGATGATGTATTGACTATTGAGTTACTCGTGATGATTATTTTTTTTGTTGGGAATTTTTGGGCATTCTTGAAGGTTGCAATTTCGGCGTGTGCATTTTTGGTAGAGCTGTTTTGCAGGCCAGGAACATGATATTGGGTGCTTGGTAGACTTCATAGGAATAAGGCTTGTGTGCATGTAAACAGATAAGAGTGGATATATGATGCCATTATAATAAGTATATGAAATCGAAGTCGTCTTTTTTTTTGATGAGTAAAAACGTGTTTATCAAGTTATATATAGAGAAATTCCAAAGAAAAAGAGAGGAAGGGGGGATGTATGGGTGTAATGACCATTGGGGCTGCTTGAATCCCAAAAGTCAAATCCATCACCGCTAGCTCCTAAATTAGCTTACTGATCTGTGTATGTCAAACTACAGTCACTCATAACGATGAAATCTGTATTGCAGGATCTTGTGAGTGCCAGGCTGAACCCTGAAGAGGCATATTCTGAAACTTACACTCACTGTGAAATTCACCCATCTCTGATATTGGGTGTCTGTGCCTCGATTATTCCATTTCCTGATCATAACCAGGTCAGTCATGTGCTCAAGTTTTTCTATTAATAATTATTAAATTTTTAATAGACTTCCTGATTGTTTGACGTTGGTTGTGCATTCCGGTGCAGTCTCCTCGTAACACATACCAGTCTGCCATGGGGAAGCAAGCCATGGGCATTTATGTGACCAATTACCAGCTTCGAATGGTGTGCAACTGAGGCCAAATCGTTCCTTTTTTTTGTTCTGTTTTATTTGTGGGCCTCTTGTTAGATTGCAAAGTTTATTTGCTATTAATTTCACTCTATGGTTATTTATTCTTGTTTTATCCCTCCTCTTTGTTCAGGATACTTTGGCATATGTTCTTTACTATCCTCAGAAGCCTCTTGTTACAACACGTGCAATGGAACACCTGCACTTTAGGCAGCTGCCTGCTGGAATTGTATGATACTTCATACCGTTTGTTTGGTTCTATCTTCTGTCTAATAATGACAGTAATTCTGATCACGCTGTTTTCTGTTATATTCATGCATTTTGCAGAATGCAATTGTTGCAATTTCCTGTTATTCAGGATACAACCAAGAAGATTCTGTTATCATGAATCAGTCTTCAATAGATCGGGGATTTTTCCGATCATTATTTTTCCGTTCATACAGGTAGAAGTTTTATATCTTTTAATCGTATGTCTTGCTTCTCTGTTCCCTATCCCTTACCCAGTGTTCCTCATGAATTTCTTTTTTTATTTATTCTTTTATGTTCTAGAGATGAAGAGAAGAAGATGGGAACTCTTGTGAAAGAAGACTTTGGTCGTCCAAATCGGGAAAACACTATGGTTTGTCCTTACGTTTTTTTTATAAATTGTATTCTTTTAGTGTTTATGAGAAACATGCACGAAATAGATGGTTTGTTTTCAGGGCATGCGGCATGGTTCATATGATAAGTTGGATGATGATGGTCTTGCACCACCTGTGAGTATTTGAAATCACTGCGCTTTTAATTTTCTTTTCTTTTTTATACATTATGAAGTTGCGAACTGTGTGTTGAATCAGGGTATGTGTTTGCTATTGCTTAGGGTACAAGGGTCTCTGGTGAGGATGTCATTATTGGGAAAACGACCCCAATTACTCAGGAAGAAATGCAAGGGCAGGCTTCAAGGTACACAAGGCGTGATCACAGCACAAGTTTGCGCCACAGTGAAAGTGGGATGGTGGATCAGGTACCTTTTATCTGTTGAAGCGCAGAACGATAAAAATTGCAGAGTTGTTGTAATAAGTTGATATCCTTGTTGGCAATCTAGTAAGAGAGATTTTGTTCTTTCAGAACCCTGGATGTGATTTACTTTTTAAATGTTACATATATTTTATTTTTGAAGATCAAAATTGTCGTCCCAAGTTAGTCTTAGAATTTGGACAGAAACTGTTTCAAACTTGCAACTTCTGAATCTCAAATAGAAATTTTAGAACATAGAAATGCTAGGATATGACCATAAAATGTATGGGTGTGGAGATAGCCTTCATTTCTGTTTTGTCAGATAGAAATTCCATGTAGTATTGGTGCCTGGCAGTGCTACTTCCACTGGTCTTTTCACTCAACATTGTGCTTCTCTCTGCAGGTTTTATTGACGACCAATGCTGATGGCCTCAGGTTTGTGAAAGTTAGAATGAGATCAGTGCGCATACCACAGATAGGGGATAAATTTAGCAGTAGACATGGTCAAAAGGGAACTGTGGGCATGACATACACACAGGAGGACATGCCATGGACAGTGGAAGGCATTACACCTGATATCATCGTAAACCCACATGCTATTCCCTCTCGAATGACAATTGGGCAGCTGATTGAGTGTATCATGGGAAAGGTAGCTGCTCACATGGGGAAAGAAGGAGATGCTACCCCTTTCACTGATGTCACTGTAAGCTATCTCTCTCTCTCTCATTCATATGATTTTAAAACCAGAAAATCATGAGGGAGTGTTCCTAACACTTTCCAATTTTTGTATCTTCTGAAAATCTTCCTTTTTCTGCTGCTCATCAATAATTTTGGGCAATGTTTTGAGTTTTGAGCTGTCTTGAATGCTGGGCTGGATAAACTAGTCATGGTGTTAGACATTCAAATTAAAAGTTGTATTCTGGTGTGGATTGGATTTGATTTATTAGAGTTTAGGATGCTAGAGCCCATGCTACTGGAGTAAAATTCTCTCAACTCAAACCTATGTACTTTGATCAAAATGAAAATTTAGCTAAAAATTATTACCTTCATATTTAGGGGACTTCCACTACGACGAGATAAATTCTCAAATTATAATCCTTTAGAATCTGCTAGAAAACGAACTTCGAACTGGTTAAAACTCTGAATTCTAAAATACAAATCTGTGCTTCCTTGCTATTGCTGAAAATAAACATAATATGGTGTGTTATAACTGAGGCAATATGCTGGTCCATGCTAAGCAGTTGAACCTTTTTGAAATTGCAGGTGGACAATATCAGCAAAGCCCTTCACAAATGTGGGTATCAAATGCGTGGCTTTGAGACCATGTACAATGGTCACACAGGCAGGAGGTTGAGTGCCATGATATTCTTGGGCCCTACATATTACCAGAGATTGAAGCATATGGTGGATGACAAGATCCATTCTCGTGGGCGTGGGCCAGTGCAGATCCTCACGAGGCAGCCTGCTGAGGGAAGGTCTCGTGATGGAGGCCTTCGCTTTGGAGAGATGGAGCGTGATTGCATGATAGCCCATGGGGCTGCTCACTTCCTTAAGGAGAGGCTTTTTGACCAAAGTGATGCCTATAGGGTCCATGTTTGTGAACAATGTGGCTTAATCGCGATAGCCAACCTCAAGAAGAATTCTTTCGAGTGCAGAGGTTGTAAGAACAAGACTGACATTATTCAGGTATGAAATTCTCTCCCTCTCTATGCGTACTTGCTTTTGTTGATAGATGATTGATTTCATTGTTTTTGGTATGGATGTTCTCCTTGGTTTGTGATCTTTTGGTGGAAGCTCTCCCATTTCAGCTTGGAATTACAAAGCATTCTTAATTCTTAACCCACCTCCTGTGACCCCTTATGTATAAAAACTAATAAAGAACAGAAGAACCCCAACGTGGTGGATTTTGGGCTAGAGAATCTGCATTTCTGATGTGCTTTTGTGAATGTGTTCGACGGATTCCCAACACAATGAGCAACTTACTGTCGAAAAAAAGGAAATTTGGATGAACAAAAATGAAGATTCACAGTTCAAGAAAGAAACAAGGAAAAGGAGGTTGGGCTCCATTATTGGTAGCAAGACTTGGTAATTGCGAGTAAGCTTCCAAGGGCACCAGGAAGTCTGGAAATATTAGTTCCAATAACTCTCCCCTTGACTTCACACTATCAATCACCTGTCTTTGCCTTGTAAAGGAATGATAAGCCAGCAGTGTTGTTAAGATCTGGCTGGACTGGACCTGCAGATTGGACTATGAACCGGTGCCCAACCTGGTCCGAGCAGGTGGTCTACTCTAGGACAGTCAAGATAAGAAAATGGATTGGATTGACCGGGTCCATGTTGAACTGGTCGATATGTGTCTATGGCAAAAGAAAAAAATCTGGCCACAGTTTTATTTCATCTTCCTGCCCTTTTTCCCTTGATTTTCTGTCCTTTTCTTTTGGTTTAGAGTTGTTTTTAGCCATTATGAAAATGGTGGGCTGACGACCACAACACCCAAGTTCAGAGAGAGAGAGAGAGAGAGAGAGAGAGGTGCGGTGTTGTCTTAAGATGCTAGTGAGTTCTCTGTGCAGTTCATTCTGGTGTGTGTTTGTGGACACAATCATGGGCCTTATATTGTCATATCTGTTTTAAAACAGTATGAATCTGATCCTATTTGTAACTTCCGTCGTTTACTTTTTTAGGTGCACATACCCTATGCATGTAAGCTGCTTTTCCAAGAGCTCATGGCCATGGCTATTGCCCCAAGAATGTTCACCAAGGAAGAGAAGAAACCAAAAGATCATAAGAAGAAAGGAGCCCCTGGACAAAGCTAGTGCAAGCTTATATGGCTAATTAGCCCACGTTATAAGAGAATGGGATGTCATATGAAACTGTTCTCTCTCTTCCAAAGCCACTGCCTTCTCTTTATTGCTAAGTTAGAAGTTCACTTGAGAGAAGTTTTGTTATGGCAGAGGCCAGGATGCAGGATTCTCAGAGGTATTACATGTGATGTAATCAGAAAAGGAAAGAGGTTTCAAATCTAATATGTGGCGGCAGTTCAGAACTCATGAAAGGCTTTTATGGCCTTCTTTTTGATATTGGTGGAAGTGGAAAACTCATAGGCAGGGATATTCATGGAGAGATTTTAGTTATATGCTTCACATTCTGAGCTTTCGTTATAATTCAGAGTCTGAGAGGTGATGATGTGTTCCTTCTTTTATTCAAGAGAAAACAGCTCTATTTATTTAGGATTTGGAGGATAATTATCATGGTTAAATGTGGGATAACTTGAACTTGGAAGAGAGGACCAAAGGTTTAAGTTAACATTAGTTATGTACCTGTTTTGTTTTTTGGGTAAGTAATTATGTATCTGTCTGGTAAGTTTATTAATCAAAGAAGAAGATGACTTCCTTGTATGATGTTTGGCAAGATGATGGAAGTCCATATGAATCATGTTCTTGTGAATTTCTTAATGAGGGATGGGCAATTTTGAGTTTAGATTTTTTATTTTATTTTTGTTTTTTCTTTCCCTGATTCGTCCAAAACCAGCGAAGGGCAACATATGAATGAGTATGGTCATGTAAGCTTTTAATTTTTATTTTTTATCAAGCATGCGAAATTGAAAGTGAAGCTTACAAAAGTCGCGGCTCTCTCTTTTCATTCTCTCTACGATATCATCTTTTTGAGATTATTTGTTGCTCAAAACCCTTTATTTTAGTAGCCCTTTTAATGTTATCAGAGTTCAAAGAATTGTCGAGACGGCCCGAATGCTGACGTGGCTCAAGACCAAGCTGGTTCGCACTCAAAACTCCTAGTCGCCCGGGTTTTATGTACAAAACATGCTTTTGCATACTACTATGGTCTTGGCAATAAATGCGGGTTTGGTAATAAATATATTTTTGAAATATAATTTGATTTTAATATTTTAAAAAATATATAATCTTTAACATGGAAATCATGAATATGATTTTTTTAAAAAAAATTAGAAATAATAATTATATTAAAAAAGCATTTATACTGTAAGTTAACACCTTGTTTTTAGATTGAACGCCTATTTGCATCAATCTTAAAGATAGATGCTTTATACCTTTGGATCGCAGATTGTAAAAATGCGGTCCAGTCTGCGTGAAACAATTTTTCTTTTTGGTTTTTTTTGGGTGAATCAATGGGGAGAGGGCCTTTATCCTAGGTACTTTTTTTTAACTAATAATGCACTTCTAGTTATTTGAACCCCCATTTTGGACCATTTTGGCACAAATCTATTCCTTAGCCCCAAAGATCATTTTTATTTTAAAGTTGCATTTAGGCGGGAGTTTTTTCATCAAGACATTGTTTTATGGAAAAAATTTATGCAAGTGTGGGGCTCTAAACAATTAAATTAGGGTGCATCTCAAAGATTTTACTAGAAGAGGTTGTTTTGATGCCCAATTATCCTCAACTTGTAATGCATTTTTGAACTATTAATTTTCAAGATTTTCAAGTTTTTATAGATCTGCTCGATCTACAATGTTTTTGACACTTTAAATTTTACAATTAGAGATAAAAATATATTTTAAAGCTATCGCAAAGATTTATAGTATTCAAACCACATTTCTTGACACTATTTGAATGTGCGCTTTATTTTGATTGTCTGGAGCCTCGGCTTTATACAAACCACGCCTTTATTTTATGGGAAAGCTTTATATGTTCCCCTTACAACATAGAAGTTCTATCCTCCCCCTACCATCCAGCCGTCCATTTTTTAGCAAGAGAGTCATTCACTGTTTGATCTTAGATCCGACATCTCAAACTATTTTATTTTTAGTTTTTTTTAATAAAATTTTTCTGAATATTAAGTTTGGTACGTACCATCTTCTCATTGGGGCGCACCTATAAAAAATATTAACAATATTTTTTCAATAAAATATAATGACCAAAATACCCCTTGAAATTTTCAAGGGTATTTTGGTCATTTTATTTTATTGAAAATATTTTTTTATATATATTTTTCGTTAGTGCGAATTTAATAGAGGAATGGACGTCCAAAATTTAGTATTCAAATGGTTTATAGAAAAAAATTAAAAATAAAACAGTGTAGAGACGTGACATTGTGATTGGGGCAATCTTAGCCCTTCTTTAAAAAATGGACTGTTGGATAAAAGGGAGGAAAGAAGTTCTATGTTGTAGGTGGAACATAGAAAGCTTTCTTATTGCATTTTCCCACTCAATTCTCAAATAAATGATACGAAATTGGTTTCAAATTATCATCATGGGCCCTTTAACATACTCAAAATCACAAATCTCTAGCTAAAAACTAGCTACAAATAATTTGCAATCACTGAGAAAATAAATAATTAAATAAACAATATACATCATATAGGGCACGCACGAAACAACTACAAAAATACTATCATATAAAGTATACTAATTTTTGTATACTCTAAATAAAATTAATTGTCATTAAACATGCCATAATCTACTCATTCGAGCAAAACCTAAAATAAAAGAATTCGACTACTGCTAAAAAAACCTTAAAAAAAATCAGGCCACAGTAGTATTAAACACAAATTTATATTTTATGGATGTTCCCTTCTGTGTTTAAGATATTATATTTGTTTTCAAAGAAACCATATGGTAATTGTGATTCCATTATTATACTATAGCCTGTTTTCGGGCACGCAGAATGCTTTTTTAAAAGAATATTTGGCCCTTTCAATACTGTAAATTGCGTGCATAAAAATAGGCAATTCGTCCTCAAGTTACAAGAAAACAGAAGATCTCTTGTTGCCCTTCTAGTATCTATACACCCAAACCAGAAGTCTATTGTAGAACACCATAATCTTGTAGTTTTAGAGAAATAAAGATAAAAATATACGTAGAGAGAGGCATGAGCGCTCTGTTTTGGAAAATTACATGCAGAGAATGGTGTACAAAAGGTGTATCTCAAATGGGAAATCGCATGTAGAGATTGGTCTACAGAGCTGTATCTTGAATGAAAAAAAGACCCATTTGAAGTGGATATATTACGTGCACTGCCTTTAATATCGATGGATGTGATATGTTTACCAGCCTTTATGTCTCCTATGGATGTCGATGGATGTGATATGATACAACCCTTTATGTCTCCTATGGATGTGATTTGTTAAAGCTTTTATATCATCAATGGCTAGTGACTAGTCAAAAGAGCATCATTAAACGTTTTTGTACATACACCCTAGCATACATATACACTTTGCTTGTTCCGATTACTCTCACTTTTATTCTTAAAACATAAAGCTGGACAATGCCCACACTTAAATACCACTCAATCTACTTTTTTTTTCAACACGACACTAAAAATCCACGCACTTTTCTCTTTATAATTTAAAAACAAAAACCACACAAAACATTTTGTAGTTTTGAAATACACCCAAGTATCTTACAAAACTAAAAAATACTAACACAAAATGTAGGGCAGCCGTTTGCTCCCGCGAACGTAGCTAGTAGTATTTTCCCCAAGTTTTAAAGATGTGAGTTATACAACCCAAAGACAAATCAAAATAAAGAAAGAAAAGCTTCAAAAAATTTCTCCAGAATTGCTCGAAATTAGGAATGAGCACAAACCACCTTTTAGACCGCCAATTTCAAGTAAATAAGTAAAAAATCCACGTTTTTGAGGAATTATTTATGTATTAGTTTTGGAAATCACTTGGTGTGACGGTAAAAGGCTCAGGCAGCTAGTGCAAGAGCACGGATTCGAATCCTGAAAGCAATCACTTTGTGCATAAGCCAAAAATTAATACCGTTTCCAACTCACCTCTCTCGAGACCCAGCGTAGGCGGGACTAGCACCAGGTCACAACCCTTTTGAAAACTTCATATCAAGAAAATCCTCCAAAGTCTTTTGCTTGAGGGAGCCAATATACAATTTCTCCCTCCGGAGTATATGCATTCTCCACACAAAATAGATATTTGTTTTGCCTTAGGGAACAAGTGCACAACGTACTCCTATAGTTGTCTGGAGTATATATATTGTATACTTATTTCCTCACGAAGAAGACTGGGAAAAAAAAATTTGATTCACAATTTTGGAAACTACATAAAATCACTAGATGGTTATGTTCAAGTAAAAAAAAAAACTGAATTTTGAGTTTTCTAACACTTAGTTCTCAATTTGCAGGGATTATGATAGGGCAATTTGGAAAATGTTATTCTTTAGTTTAACATTATGAGTTGAGGAGCTTGAATCCCCAAATTTTGGGAAATTAAGAATAATCTTAGATTAAGTTTTACTCAAGGGAGTAATGCAATATGCTCCTTTAGGGGCATGAATATTTTGGCTTTTCAATGCGTTAAGAGAGGATAATGGAGAGAACCATCAAACTTGACTTGGCCGGTTCAATTCAAAACCAGTGGGTGACCAGTTCAATCCACTGATTTGGCTCATCAATTTAAAACTAATGCGACTAGTTCAACATAGTGACTTAAAGTTAAAAAACTCAATGTATCAAGAAACTTTGCCAAGATCAAAATTTCTTTTATTCTCACCTGTCTACTGGTTACTTCCTCAAACCTTGCGAGGGAGAAAGAATGTTTAGTTGATTAAAAAAATATATATATATATATCAAATCATTTTTACATCTAAAGTAAATAATGATTGTGACATCTTTATACCAAAAGTAAATGATCTTATAGCATATATTTATTTTTGTTATACTTTTTTTTTAACCTTTCCTCCAAAGCCAAGCAACTTGTAAGCAATTTGGCACTATGATATTTATATTCCTCTTTATTTATTGGAGGAGATTTGTATAGAAGAATTTATCGAGAAAAAAGATTTGTATAGCACATGTCAACCTTAAAAATTACATTTCTAGGGCCACAAAATCCCTACATTAATTTCAAAATCTATTTTCACCATTAATTATATAAATATTTGAATTCTTTATGGTGTATGGCAAACTTATACACCATAAATTTTCTATAAATTATTGATTCTTGAATCAAAAATCAAAAAACAATGAGTTTTTGATGGATTGAAATCGTGGATTTTTGAAGCTTTGAAATTTCCGCCATTTTATTAATATCAGCTTCAATACTGAATGGAGTTTCATAAAAATGGAGGGCTTTGATTCATTATTGAAGCCTTAAATGTTTCCATATTTCAATTTGTCCAAAATGATGAAAATTAGAGGTTTTTTTGGGCCCAAAGTCTGCTGCTCGAAGAACTGTTTTTTATCCTAAAAATTTGATTTCTGATCTATCAATTTATCATTTTTTATCGAATTGATCAGTCCATTTTGATCATCAAAGCTTCATCTGTCAAATAAACTAGGTATGTTGATTTATTATTGATCAGATTTTTTAATATCTATTTTTTTTGTCGTGTTTTTTCCTAAAATTTTCATGAAGTGAAAAATTCGTCATTTTTTGAAGAACAATCTCAATACTGAATGGATCTTCATGGAATTTAAGGCATTTGAATCATAATGGAAGTATCTATCATATCCCCATATTAATTTGTTCAAAAAAGGGAAGAT